GATTTTTAAAGAATTTATTTGTCTTGCACTGCTGAACATAAGTATTTGAACACCTAAGAAACAGCAAGAATTCTGGCTCTCAAAGACCTGTTACTGTGCCTTTAAAAACTCCACCTGTACTCCACTCATTAATCTAACTTAGTAACACCTGTCTGAGCTCTTTAAAGATACCTGTCCACCTCACAGTCAGTCAGACGCCAACTACTACCATGGGCTAGAGCCCTCCATGATTTCTAAGTGGGAGAACTTGCAAAATCGCAGGGTGTTCAAATACTTCTGTTCCTCACTCTATATAGCTCTGATGAAGATGGCACCCCCCTTCGCAGCGCGTCAGAGTCATTCTGAGAATTTCCCCTTCAGATGGGGTTCGCATGTGTCTCCTTATCATAGGATGCACTTTTGGATTTTATATGCCTGTTTTATTACTACTCTTGTGAGTATATCTCCTAAATCAGTAAATTTACTAACTGTTTACTGAGGTAATGCGCAAGGTTTGTGCGTTCTGTTTTTGTTCTCCACTACAGTTTGTATCAAGCTTCCCCAGCTTTGTATTGGAGCTGCACAGCCTTTGATTGGTTTGGGATGAACTTCCATACATCTTTATACTCATTATATTATTGATCCATCGGCCCTCTACTGATCTAGGTCCCTGAGCGCAGGAGGTGTTGTGATTGTGAAAACATTGCAATATGTCGACATGAAACCGTGGGTAGGCATGGATCATTTAGAATGAAGACCTTTGTCATATGACAATGGAATGTTTGCTGCTGTATGTGTTTGTTGTATGGACACTTCAAATGAACACTTGAAGTCAACATTGACATCAGCTTGTATGAAGAATTGAAGTGTCATTTCAAGAGTTCATACAATAACCATATGTAACACGTCTGTAGCTGACAGAATGGCTAGGGAATGTACATTGACTATTGGAGGGCCCTGCAGACACAACAAGTCTCATTTCAGTACAAAGCCCAGGTAATAATATTAAAGGCTTTAAGAAGACTTGCCATCAATAAAGCTTGGCAAACTAACCTTACAGATGAGTAATAGGCAACATCAGGTGTTGGTAGGTACCAATGACTCCCTAAAACGTTTCTGTAGGGACACCCGGGAACCTGTAGAAGGGGACCTGTAGAAGACATTTAATTACTTTCTATGAATGTCTAAGCCCCGGTTGACATATATGTGGCCGTGCGGCCCGCATTTTGTGCTGGCACAAGAGCCCATTCATTTGAATGGACTCCCGTGTCCTCTGACACACAGAGAAGAAGTCCCTGCACTTCTTCTGAAAACACAGCCCACACGGGAACCTCGGTTCCCAGTGCGGTTGCGTTTTCCAGTGTGGGCTGCGTGCCATTAGATACAGTAAAGGCTTCTTTCTGGCACCTCGACCATGCAGCTCATTTTTGTTCAAGTGTCATCATATTGTGCTCCTTCAAAACAACCACACTGTATTTTTCCAGAGCAGCCTATATTTTACTTGTGGTTACCTATGGGTTTCCTTTGTATCCCGAACAATTCTTCTGGCAGCAATCTTTCTTGGTCTACCTGTACTTGGCTTGGTATCCAGAGATCCCCGAACATTCCACTTCTTGATAGGTGGTTTAACAATACTGATTGGCATATTCAAGGCTTTGGACATCTTTTTATGTCCTTTTCCATCTTTATAAAGTTCCATTACCTTGTTGCGCAGGACTTTTGACAGTTCTTTTCTGATCCCCATGGCTCAGTATTCAGCCTAGTCAGTGCTTCCACGTAAGAGCTAACAAACTCATTGACTATTTATACACTGACACTACTAATTGCAATTTAAAAATCTACAGATGTGGGACATTAAGCTCTAATTGGCATTTTAACCCGTGTGTGTCTCACCTTGTGTGTCTGTAACAAGGCCAAACATTCCAGGGGGCGGAGATTTCTGATCATGGCCATTTGGGTGATTTCAGTTATCATTATCATTTAAAAAGGAGCCAAACAAATATTTGATAATAAATGGCTTCATAGGATCATCATCCTTCAATAAAAGAGCATTTTTTTGGCATGATCAGTCATATTTTCAATATCAATGCCAAAATTTCACAATTTCTGCCAGGGTATGCAAACTTTTCAGCACAACTGTGAGTGGGCCAGGGGTGGGCTAGCAAGAGCCTGTGATACTTTGCCCTGAATGGACAAGATGGGGTTCATTTACTAAAACTGGAGAGTGCAAAGTTAGGATCAGCTCTGCATAGAAACCAATCAGCTTCCAGGTTTTATTGCCAAAGCTTCATTGAACAAGCTGAAGTTTGAAGCTGATTGGCTACCATGCAGAAGTGAGCCTGATTTTGCACACTCCAGTAAATAAAACCCAACGACTCTTTAAAAAAAATAAAATTCATAATTTTTGAATAATACGTAGCTAAGCTAAATGGCAGCTTTGTCTATTTGCCTAGAATTCTACTTAAAGGCGTTGTATGTAAAATAAAGATAATGTAGGGAGATTTTTGGTATTTTTGATTGATTTTCTAGTTAAAAAGTGTTGATGATGGTCGAAGTATTCCTCCAATTTCTCTAGCATTATCATACACCTTTCCTCTGGGTTTTATACCTGGGAAATCAGGAGACGTCTGCAGAATGATCTCGGCACATTCTCCTAAACATCCCAATTCCAGGGAAAAAGCCGAATAACTTTCATTTAGGATTAATTTGCATGTTGTTACCCAGAATCCCTAGGGAGAGCTTTCATCACATTTGTAGACTCCATTAGTTTCTAAGGCATTAATATTCAAGATGTATGCAAAATGAATTACTCAGCAGCCAAGGCAGTTATTAATTTAAAACCGTTTCTGCTTAAAAAAAAATTAGGGATCTTGTAAAGAAAAAAAAACTGGATACATTTTAGAAGTGATGGAAGCTCTTATTACATGTGACAACATATGGCTGGCTATGTGTTCATGTGAGGTCAAGGTTGACATTGTTCTTTTATGACCATTCATTCTAAACCCCATCCATCTTTGGGGTGCAGACTTTGATCCTCACAGTATCCACGTGGACATTTCCTCCTGGTAAATGATGTTATCATGGCAGAGGATGTAGTGAGAGAGGTCACTCAGGAGAGGGTTAAACACTTTTTGCTTAGTCACATTGGGAGGCTCGCTGATTTACAGCTTACAGCTTCCAGCTGGATTTACACTGTTGAAGTGCGTTATGGCATGCGTCTAAACATACTGTGTTGTAAAGCAGCCCATTCCTTTTGCATGGGTGGCCAACGCACTGAAGCAAGGCTTCTTAAGGCATATGAACCCTTTTGTTTTTCCAGTGCATGGGTGTGAACTATGCTACACTTATACACAGGTCCATTCTGGGTCTTCCATGGGGATGTGTGTTGGGGTGCCATTGCAGTTTGCATGTTACTGTGCCTTGCTGTAATGCACAGTAAAACCCACTTGTTACTGCAGAGCAAAGATGTGACTATGGCCTAAAGCAGGGTCTCCAAACTTTCTAAACAAAAGAGCAGTTTCCTGGCCTTCAGACTTTAAGGGGGCCGGATTGTGGCCAGTGTGAGTAGAAAATGCCCTGGCATCAATGGGAGTAAATAATGCCCATCATTGGTACTGGTGGGAGGAATTGCCCCATCGTTGGTATCAGGGAAAGAAATCGTGCCCCATTATTGGTGTCAGTGGGCAGAATAGTATCCTGCTGTTGGTGTCAGTGGGAGGAATAGTGCCGCATCACTGTTGTCAGTGGGAAGAATAGTGCCCCATTGTTGGGGGTCAGTGGTAGGAATAGTGCCCTATTGTTGGTATCAGTGACAGGAATTTTGGCCCATTGTTGGTGTCTGTGGGAAGAATAGTGCCCCATTGTTGGGGTCAGTGGTAGGAATAATGCCCTATTGTTGGTATCAGTGACAGGAATTATGCCCCATTGTTGGTGTCAGTGGGAAGAATAGTGCTCAATTGTTGGGGTCAGTGGTAGGAATAGTGCCATATTATTGGTATCAGTGACAGGAATTATGCCCCATTGTTGGTGTCAGTGGAAAGCATAGTGCCCCATTGTTGGGGGTCAGTGGAAAGCATAGTGCCCCATTGTTGGGGGTCAGTGGTAGGAATAGTGCCCCATTATTGGTATCAGTGACAGGAATTATGTCCCATTGTTGGTGTCAGTGGGAAGCATAGTGCCCCATTGTTGGTGTCAGTGGAAATCATAGTGCCCCATTGTTGGGGGTCAGTGGAAAGCATAGTGCCCCATTGTTGGGGGTCAGTGGGTAGGAATAGTGCCCCATTATTGGTATCAGTGACAGGAATTATGCCCCATTGTTGGTGTCAGTGGGAAGAGTAATGCTCCATTGTTGAGGTCATTGATCGGAATAGTGCCCTATTGTTGACATCAGTGACAGGAATTATGCCCCAGGGGTTTATTTATTAGTGCCAGTGGGAGGAATAGTGCCCCAAGGGCTGGATAAAGGCAAGCAAAGGGCCACAGATTGAAGACCAATGACCTAAAGTGTCTGGTTTTGTACAGTGATCCATTTTTTAATGTGACTAAATAACATGAGCACATGAGCTAGAAACCGAAAGCCACAGTTCCAGAAGATGGCCTGCATAGGGGCCTTGGGACACTGTACTGGATAGGTAGGTGCCATCACCAAGAACGAGGGGGCATAGTTTTTGCTGAACCATTGATCCTATGAGGCCAGCTCTCAAACCCTTCATTCTACATAAGGGCACCAGTCACTTGTGTGGTTTGGCAGATGCCCTCTAGCAACCAGTGCCCTGGGCCCACATGGACCAGTCTCCTTCTGCAGGTCAGTGATATTAAACTGTATTTTGCATTAAAGGAAGCCATATTATAAAAACAAAATATACTTATACCCAGAGCTCTGTGTATCCTTCAGGCCCTTTGTAGAAATGTGCTGCCATACTGTATGCATCTACTGAGTCCAGTGATTATTTGTGTCCTCTAATGAATGGAGGGCTGGAAACTACTGAGCAGCATCCTTCTGTGAGCTGTACAATGAGTTTAAAAGGTACAGTCCTGTCAAAAGGGAAAGTTACAGGCAGGGGTGGACTGACCATTTGGAAACTTGGGCACTGCCCGAGGGCCCGGGGTCAGTAGGGAGCCCCATGAGATGCCCCTGGTACCTTTTTCATAGGCTTTTTGAGTTTGGGCAAGGACATAGGGGCCCCATGATCCCCTATTGCCCAGGGACCTCAGGAGTTGTCAGTCCGCCCCTGGTTACAGGTAGGATCACCTGCTGAGTACGTGAGTTCATCATCCATGCTGTGTGCACCAGACCGCCCTACCACCTCTTGCCACTAGTCTGATCATCTGAGAACCCCTGCTACCTACCTCTCTGTATAACATAGACCAGGTGTTCCAGAACAGACCACCACAGGCTCTTTTGCTGTGTCTCACATACAGAAATTCTGATGTAAAAATAAATCAGCAGTTTCTCAGAGTCGGTGACTAGTCGGATTTAAAGGGTTATGTGACCTTGACTGACTTTTGCCACAAACCTCCCAGAGCATTAGTGTCCTCAGTACATGACCATGCAGTGCTCCTTTTTGTATGGCTGCTCTTTTCATTGGCCTCCCCTCTCCATCCCACCACCTATAGGACAGGGAGCGGAGCATTCATTGGGAGGTTTGTGGCAAAGGTGTCAGTAAAAGGTGGACTTACCCTTTAAATCTACCTTGGAAGGTGAATGCAGTCGGTTATACAGGAGAAAGCGAGGAAGTTACACAGCACAGGTTTTAGGACATTATGCACCCAGTGACCCTAGAAAAAGCTCTCCAGATTCTTCCTGCAGTGGATATCTCTTTTGCTAGTTTTTTTATATTTAGTTATAGTTTTTTGCTGAAATGAAACTAAGATCTAGAGTAAATGTGTGCAGAACCTGTCCTATTTTCAACCTATGCAAGGTTTACTATTGTCTCATAGCTTGTGAGGGTGTCAGGAAATAGACTCCTTCTGACCATAATGTCCTCTTGGTGATTGAAAGAATGTGAAAATGGGGGAGATTTTTTTCTCACTCTCTGTGACACCCGGACAAGAACTAAGGTGTGTGGTTGTCACTGTGACAGGAAGGAACAGAAGGCGATCCTCACTCTATTACAAAAAAATATTTTTGCCTGTGTCTCCATTGGAGAGATTACCATCATGCCTGCTCATGACAAGAAGTAAATACTGCCCAAAAAGGACACAAAAAAACGTAAAGAATTTTACCCCAACATTTCCTACTGATATCTGCCTGCTGTACCATGTACTTGTATTAAAATGTCTCCTGTTTTCTTTGCATTGCTTCCTTTGTGTGAAATCTCTGGTGTTCCTGTCAGTCCCTCTGCTTTCCTATCAGAAACTGACCACACTAAGCATGAGAGCACAGTGTGGTCAGTTTTCTGGCTGTGCTGGGAACTCATCCTGCTCTCCTCCAACCCTTGCCAGTCTAGCCAGCTATTTAGGCTGGAGCTGAGCGTTTTTCTTTTGACTGGCTCTTTAACCCCTGGTTCACATATATATGCGGCTGTGCAGGCCGAGTTTTGCGTGGGCATGAGAGCCCATTCATTTGAATGGACTCCCGTGCCCCGTGACACGCAGGGAAGAAGTCCCTGTACTTCTGAAATTGCAGCCCGCATGGGAACCTCGGTTCCCAGTATGGTTGCGTTTTCCAGAACTAATGGCACCCACTCGTGGGACCGCATTCCTCTGTGTGGGTGGTGCGGTTTTTCAAATTTTTGTGCGGATCTGCAGTCGCACCACCCGCACAGATGTGAACCTAGCCTAAAGGAGTGTGGGATATCTGGTCCTCCCCTGAGCACTGTGGTCCCACCCACTGCGTCTAGTAATGATGTAAGGGCCAGTGGACCTTATTGCTTGCTGGAGGACCTGATCTTTGAAACATCCAGAAGGGTCAAATGAAGAAGAAAGTCGAGATAGTGATAAAGATCGAAGATTGGCAGCATGGGCGTCAGGACATTTTGGAGGGTTATTTACTAAAACTGGAGAGTGCAAAATCTGGTGCAGCTGTGCATAGAAACCAATCATCTTCCAGGTTTTATTATCTCAGCGTAATTGAACAAAGTGAAGTTAGAAGCTGATTGGCTACCATGCACATCTGCACCAGATTCTGAGTCCCCAGTCTTAATGAATCCCCCTCTTTGGCTGGCCATACGCTATACAATTTTTTCTGTCCAATTTCCTTTAGATTTACCTCCAGTGCAAGGGCCCTCCTAATTGGATACAATTGAAAGTGTTGTGTAGGTTTGACCTCATATTATATGTTTTATGGTAAATCTAAAGCAACATTCTCAAGAAAATTGTATAATGTATGGCCAGCCTTTGTTTTTTTTTTTTTTGTTCAGGTACCTCTGTTTAGTTTGCTCTGGAAGCAACAGCATGATTTCAATTTGCAGCTCATCTCTTGCCAGGGGCGGACTGACAACTCATGGGGCCCCCGGGCAATAGGGGATCATGGGGCCCCTGTGTCCTTGCCCAAACTCAAAAAAGCCTATAAAAAAGGTTACAGGGGCATCTCATGGGGCCCCTACTGACCCCGGGCCCTCGGGCAGAGCCTGAGTTTCCAAATGGTCAGTCCGCCCCTGTCTCTTGCTGTACTAGATTTGGGCTTTTCTTTAATGATCGCAGAGTACACAGCCATTAAAGTGTAAAGCCTGTGATAACTACAAAGTTTTTTTTTTTTTTGTACGCCCAAATCTACCCCGGCTGGGGCAATCCGTCTTTATTTTTGATGATTACCCCCCTGTAACGTGTCGGATCAGCACCCCATTCTCTTGTTTGACATGTTCGCAGCAACGCGAGTCTTGATGTTACAAGATAACTAGTGCAGCATTAGCTGTTAATATTTCATTACAAGCACATCACGCTGTTTGGAGCGCAGGGGCTAAGAGCAGAGTAAGGGCTTTTAGTCACAGTGTTCATTCATCCTCAGCCGGGAGCCTGCTACACATGTGTGACCCCCGTAGTAATGTGGGAAAACATAGCATGGCCGGGATATGACTGCGGTGCAGAGAAAGTGCTGACTGTGCAGGCAGCAAGCATCCAGTTGTGACGGCTCTCGGAGAGGAATACTAAACATAGACGCACAATTGCTGCTAATATCTCACCTTAGCTTTCCACTTGTCTGGATATTTATCCAGATTCCCCCCTGGAGCTTAGAATAAAAGTGCCAGTTTATGCTGTTTCCATGTTATCACTCACCACAACTGAGGGCTAGTTTTCCCCCTAGTAGTGAACGGGACCTGAACTATGGTTGTAGAAGGCCAGCTTCCCGGCCGATTCATGTATTGGAAGCAAAATATTCTCTTGTAGGTTTATGTAATAGTTTACAGATGCCAAATACACCTCCATGTATTCACATAACCACTAGAGGAAGAACACACAAATCAAGGTGTTAAATACCATTGTGAAAATATATGAGGTGGTATCAAAACGTTTCCGCGTGAAACCCACGTTTCGTCACCAGTAATGATCCTCGATATGCACAAGTGCCAAATGGTTTCGACATTTTCAGGGGCTGAGTTTGTTGAATGTCTTCCTGATCTCTCGTCATCTTTCAGTGATGTTCTTCCTCTCTTGAAGCATGAGTTCCACACAGAACACCTCGAACGACTCATTGCAGCATCGACTTAAACTTGCCGAATCATCTCAAACGTCTTTGTGGTAGATTCCTAGATTGTAAGCTCTAATGAGCAGAACGAATGTATTCTCTCTTGAGAAGAGGAGATTAAGGGGGATATGATCTCCATGTATAATACATAAGGGGGGGATATGATCTCCATGTATAATACATAAGGGGGGATATGATCTCCATGTATAATACATAAGGGGGGATATGATCTCCATGTATAATACATAAGGGGGGATATGATCTCCATGTATAATACATAAGGGGGGATATGATCTCCATGTATAATACATAAGGGGGATATGATCTCCATGTATAATACATAAGGGGGATATGATCTCCATGTATAATACATAAGGGGGGATATGATCTCCATGTATAATACATAAGGGGGGTATGATCTCCATGTATAATACATAAGGAGGATATGATCTCCATGTATAATACATAAGGGGGATATGATCACCATGTATAATACATAAGGGGGGATATGATCTCCATGTATAATACATAAGGGGGGATATGATCTCCATGTATAATACATAAGGGGGGGATATGATCTCCATGTATAATACATAAGGGGGGATATGATCTCCATGTATAATACATAAGGGGGGATATGATCTCCATGTACAATACATAAGGGGGGATATGATCTCCATGTATAATACATAAGGGGGGGATATGATCTCCATGTATAATACATAAGGGGGGATATGATCTCCATGTATAATACATAAGGGGGGATATGATCTCCATGTATAATACATAAGGGGGGATATTATCTCCATGTATAATACATAAGGGGGGATATGATCTCCATGTATAATACATAAGGGGGGATATGATCTCCATGTATAATACATAAGGGAGGATATGATCTCCATGTATAATACATAAGGGGGGATATTATCTCCATGTATAATACATAAGGGGGGATATGATCTCCATGTATAATACATAAGGGGGGGATATGATCTCCATGTATAATACATAAGGGAGGATATGATCTCCATGTATAATACATAAGGGGGGGATATGATCTCCATGTATAATACATAAGGGGGGATATGATCTCCATGTATAATACATAAGGGGGGGATATGATCTCCATGTATAATACATAAGGGGGGGGGGGGGATATGATCTCCATGTATAATACATAAGGGGGGGGGGGGGATATGATCCAATGTATAATACATAAGGGGGGGATATGATCTCCATGTATAATACATAAGGGGGGATATGATCTCCATGTAAATACATAAAGGGGGGATATGATCTCCATGTATAATACATAAGGGGGGGGGGGGGGGTATGATCTCCATGTATAATACATAAGGGGGGATATGATCTCCATGTATAATACATAAGGGGGGATATGATCTCCATGTATAATACATAAGGGGGATATGATCTCCATGTATAATACATAAGGGGGGGATATGATCTCCATGTATAATACATAAGGGGGGATATGATCTCCATGTATAATACATAAGGGGGGATTTGATCTCCATGTATAATACATAAGGGGGATATGATCTCCATGTATAATACATAAGGGGGATATGATCTCCATGTATAATACATAAGGGGGGATTTGATCTCCATGTATAATACATAAGGGGGATATGATCACCATGTATAATACATAAGGGGGATTTGATCTCCATGTAAAAATACATAAGGGGGGATATGATCTCCATGTATAATACATAAGGGGGATATGATCTCCATGTATAATACATAAGGGGGGATATGATCTCCATGTATAATACATAAGGGGGGGATATGATCTCCATGTATAATACATAAGGGGGGGATATGATCTCCATGTATAATACATCAGTGGTTCAGTGAGCTCGGTGTAGAGTTATTCACCCTGAGGTCATCACAGAGGACAAGGGGGCACTCTTTACATCTGGAGGAAAAGAAATGTAATCTCCAAACACGGAAAGGTTTCTTCACAGTGAGAGCTGTGAAAAAACGTGGAATAGACTCCCTCAATAGTTGGTTCTGGCCAGCTCAGTGGATTGCTGTAAAAAAGTCCTGGATTTTTTCTTAGATACACAGAATATAACTGGATACTAACATTTATAGGTAAAGTCGATCCAGGGAATATCAATTGCCTCTCGGGGGATCAGGGAGGAATTTATTTCCCAACAGGAGCAAATTGGATCATTCTTTCCTGGGCTTTTTTTGCCTTCCTCAACTGTGGGTATAGGATTATAACTTTTTTTTTTCTTCCTATGGTTGAACTAGATGGACTTTTGTCTTTTTTCAGCCAGACTAACTATGCAGGGCCCTCTGTTTCCTCTTGTACCAAATTGTATTGTAACTGTAATGTCTGCCTTCATTTTGTAAAGCGCTGCACAAACCTGTATAATAATAATTTGCCCAGTTCCACGCAGAATTTCACATTTTCCCTTTGTTCTAACTTGCTGTCCATGGTGAAATAGCAGACGTGGTAACGCACGTGGTCAGAATAGCACCAGTTGCACAGCTCTCGATGTACCCACGAGACGATGTCTTTTGGCACACTGACATATGAAGGTTGGTGCTCCATGTGATTGCGTGTGCAGCCTTGTGCTGCCATCTGTTGGCGTGTTATAAAACTAGTCTTGAAACTTTTTCATACCGCCTCGCAGAACATCTACAGTTACATTTAGACAAATCTGGTAGGAATAACCAATAGTGTGCGCACTAAAAATACTGGATGTTTTCTATTTTTAAAACCAAGATCCAGTTTTGTGTAGTAACCAGGCCAGAACTTCAATAAAATTAAAAGTGTTGCTCCCCCCCCTGGGAGTGTGTCATCATGTTGGCCCGGGCTTACAGGAAGGCGCTCACATCACAGGGAGGGTCCACCAGTGCCCATGGATGAAGACCTTGAGATGTCACATGGCTGGCCAGAAGATGCCAGGAAAAAACATATGTATAGTATGGAAGAAAAAGTAATAATGTCAAGGAGGGTACTCTAGTGGGGGGTATCCAAGCTGGAGTTGCCCTTTAAATATTTATAGAGTAGAGAGAAAAGACAGACTGGGACTCTGATAAAGGGTTAAAGGGAAGTGAATGGGGTTAATAGACGGGGGAATGGGCCTGCAGTATACATCTGCCATCATTAGCAGACAAAGCAGTGCTGTTCGTGGAGCACAGTAACACATTGTGCCCGGTGTAGTGCTCGGGGTGAGATGTAGTTCATGGACTCTATGTACATACCTGACTGCTTCCTCTTGTTCCTGCACCCATCTCAGGCCTGGCGTGAAGCACGCCGTGCCGGTAGAAATATACAGAATTTCTGAGAGTAATGTATTTCTTAGTCACGTCGTGTCACTTCACATTGCTCCTAATGAAACAGCACTTTCATCTGCCTTCCGTATACAATGACGGATTGAGAGCTATTTTCGACTCCTGTGCAAAGCATCTCTTTAGCCTGTTCAAGTCATCTCTCCCCAGAATGTAATCGTGGAAGAGACTCTTATGTTCACCTACATGGTAGCGTGCTGTACAGAATACACCAGGGCTAGCACCACTGCTGGTTTCTGGAATCACACCTCCCACTCCATTTTATTGGTCTGACTTTGCAAGTCGCTCTTTGCAGTACCAAGTTCATTCTTTGGACTTTACCCACTTCCCACGTACGTGAACGTCAGCAATTTCAATTGTTATACTATAGCAGGATGATGCCTGGAGCTACAGGCGTCATCCTGATATTGTTTTTTTTTTTTTTCTTTTTAGGTGATTGGCTCTTCTGTAAAAGCCACCTTAGCACCTAATTAGCCGCTGGATTACTTTTACAGGTGGCGGAAAGGGTCATCCCCGCCAACCAGCTGTGCCTTTCTGGTCTCTGCCATCCCACTGACAAGCCTGGAATGAAGCCGGAACTTCTGCCAAATTACCATAGAACTGATCAAGAATCAGATACTACATTCAGCTTAGACAGCGCAAGGATATTTGTTAGTAAAGGAAATAGTTCATTTGGGCCAGCTGAGCCCAAACAAA